GACCCTGGATAAGAGGAAGATGATGGATGGATGGATGGATGAGTGTTGACCTAATTTTCTCTGTTCAGGACAAACACTGGTTGATCCGACAGGCGAAAACCCCCATGACCAACTCCTCTGTTCAGTTCCTGGATGATGCCTTCAGGAAACGGTTTGTAGTTTTATTTTTGGTCTTTTATATCCATCTTTATCGCTCTGTTCAATGATCAAATGTTGCTCTAGATGGAGAACTCTCCTGTCAGTGGACGACCTGGTGGAGAAAATCGTGAAGAATCTGGAGGAGAGCGGTGAACTAGAGAACACCTACATCTTCTTTACATCCGATAATGGCTACCACACAGGTGGGTCGGTACCTTAGACATGATCCTTTCCTCTTTTCTCCTCCTGGTGACATAAATTAACCTGTTTGGCTCTGAATCAGGTCAGTTCTCTCTGCCGCTGGACAAACGGCAGCTCTATGAGTTCGACATCAGAGTTCCTCTCATGGTCAGAGGACCGAGCATCAAACCCAACCAGACCAGCCAGGTACCCATGTTCCCACCGTCTCACCTCTGTTTTTAATCTGTTTGGAGAAATTCTATCTGTCAAGTTCATAGTTTCTCTTTATTTATTGGACAAATAATAAGAGCAAATGTTCAGTCTGTAGTTGCAATGAATTTAGTAGCGACTTTTTCATTTAAAATGAAGTTTAAAAAAACATAACAAAGCCAATTGCAAGCAAAGATTTTTGCTTTAATCTGTTTCATCTCTGCTTCTGGAGGTCATATGTGTGTTTGTTGCAGCCTAAAGGCTGGTTATCGTCCCCCAGCAGTTTGTTGCAGTGAGCTTTTCGCTGCCCAATATTGAAGCGTTGTCTGCACTGTTATTCCACTCCACAACACAAGAGGGCCAATCAGGAACTAGCTGTGGGTCTAGATAAGGGCAGAGGCAGTGAGAAAGTGGAAAAACCGAAAGGGCAAGTCTGTCCGACAATGGAGGAACATGAGTCCCAAAAAGAGCGGGGATCCAGGTGGAAAAAGGGTCCCAGCGTTCTGGCGCACCTCGCTCTGCTAGCTGCTCCATCTTCACCAGTCGTTTTCTACAATGGCGGTCAGACAAAAAAAACAAGCCGGTAAGGAACCAAACAGGAAAAAGGCGCATAGTGTAGAGCAGATGCAGATTTGACCAATCAGAGGCCTCCTGTCTGCGGCACTGTCTGCAGTCACCTACTATTTTACAGAGGTATCTGCGATAGGGGCGGGGCATATTTGCGTTCAATGCAACACACGCAGACGACCTGGTTTCTGAGCATAAATCAGCCTTAACTCTACATTTCACCTAATAATTCCCCACAGAACACCTGCTACTGTTCAAAGTAAACTATTATTATTGATAACAGCTGATCGGGCTTTGATTGTTTGGCTGCCAGAAGAAAAAAAGCTGCCTGTTTATTTTTTTTCCAGGGTTTAAAGATGTTAGATAAGAATAAATGACTTTCTTTGAGGTGATGATACCTTAGGAAAAAAATGTCTGTTTCTACTTTGAGGAACGGTGGTGGTACCATCATAATGTGGGGATGTTTTTTTTTTCTGGCAGGTATTTAGCAGTCTGTCCCCATATGGAAAACCTAGAGGAAAAAAAAGCTTTTTCTAGTGGCTTGTTTTTTAGACAGAAGACTGAAAGGAAAGGGGGGATATGAGATCGGGGGGGGGGACATGCGGCAAAATGATGCAGTGGGATAAAAACATTCGCCCCAGTTAAATAAACAGATTGATGGATTTCACTCAGTCGGCACTTTATTTCTATATCTTAGCAAAGAGAGAACAGTTCAGCTCTTTTTGCTCGGTAATCAGCCCTGATCTGATCTAGACTGTTTGTCTCCTTTACTTACAATAAGGAAACAGCTGTGCAGGTTGTGTCAGAGTCAAAAGAAATCACACACACTTTGGTTTAACAATAACAATTCTTGAAAAACAATTTGGCTCGTTATGGAATAGGTATTTCTTGTTTGCAAAATACTTCTAACTCGGACACTTTGTGGCCTTGCAGGTGAAACTGACTGAGTAAAAACATTTTTCACTGGATAGGAGGGCTGGGTGTTTCTGCCAAAGTCCGGAATCGATTCGATTTTGATTCAATCGGTTCTAAATCGGTTAATTTCGATTCGATCTGTTTTTACTATAATGAAAGTTGTTCAACTGCGTTTCAAAATACTCATGTATTTTATTTTTTTCTGTCACATTAAACACAAAGTGCAAAATTGTAAATCAGACAGTTTAAACATGAGAAGTGAACAAAACTGTCTCATAAGTGCAAACTTGTTTGTGCAAAGTGAAAAAGTGAATCCTCCGTCGAGCGAGCAGACGTGACACAGCAGACATGCGTGAGCTGCATTATCTTCACTGAACAAACCGTATGTGCAGCGTTGTCTGTAACTTCAGGGTGATTGCTGCTCAGCCTCCATTCGTTAATGTCTTCAGTCGACCTGTTGGCCATATTTGCAGCTGTCTGGCTTGAACTCATCTTTAGTGCATCTTTCCTGCTCATTTGAATGTGAACGTCACGCAGGTCACTATAAAATAAATCAATCTCATTCCCTAGACGGCAAAAATGTTAAGGAATTGATTTTTTTACCCGGCCCTACTGGACAGATATCATAACTAAATATATGAAACAACAGAAATCTAAATTTTGCGACCACAGTGATCAGTAACATTGATAAAAGTGGCTAAATATAGATATATAACAGATAATGAATTAAACAGCTAAAGATCTATAAAATGCTCATGGCCTCCTGATTGACAGCCAGAGTTAGAACAAACGGCAAAGCTTATAAATCTGGTTTACTAGAAGTACGATGCTCAGTCAGCTGCTCAGTCAGCAGCTCATGCGTCCCTTAATGTCTCCAGAAAACAGAATTATCTTTTTACTCGCTTCACGTCCGTCTGTCAGTATCATCGCTGCTCAATCAGTCGCTACATGTATCATTGTGACACTGAAGGCCCAGATTCTTCTATAGGTTTTTCTGACTCCACCTAACTGTGAATGTGTCTGAAGTGTTTTGTCGTGCAAACAGGAGTTATATTTTATTATCTGCATATGTTTTATTTTCTATACCTGCCTGTTTTCAGTAATGTGTTTTGTTTTTCCTGTTTTCATTCTGGCGTTTAGGATCAGCTTCTTTTCTTTGCTGAATTAATCTTCTGATTTCCTGCACAATGAAATTATAATTCTGTATTTTTAACGATCTGTTCTTAGATGCCGGTGGCAAACGTTGACCTCGGTCCGACCATCCTGGACATCGCCGGCTACAATGTCAACAGGACTCAAATGGACGGCATGTCCTTCCTGCCAGTAATGGTGAGACAACCTGCTGTTTTTTTATTTTCTTTATGAGAAATTCTATTTATTTTATTCTAATTAATGTTGAAACTATATATTTACCCTATTCACTTTAAGAATGTATAAGATTATTTGTATTTGTTAAAATCCTTATTAAACAGATTTCATCAATATCTGTAAACATTTTTAGAAGTTGGCACCTTTTCTTTTGATTGCAAAGAATCTGAAGAATCTTTATTCAAATGTTTTGTTTCTTCTGCATCTTTTGCATTTATTTCTGGGATTTAGCAAATAAAAAGTTATTGAGGAAATCCCGTTGAGCCTGTTAATTAAGTAAAAATAGCTTATTTTTCTATACAGTTTGTGTAAAAATCGGATTTCTAATTTATGTGCAAAACATTTTTCTTTTCTTTGTTGATATTAGGAATTAATATTTTCAGTAATTTTCATTGCTATTTATCACCATGATTTATTTGTCAGCATAAAATATAATATTTGTACCTTTTTACTAAATTCTATTAGTTTAAATGTCACATTTTATTTATTAAAAACTATTAAACAATAATTGGAATCCTATTATGAATTTTAATTTGTTTATAAATTGTTTTAATTTTGGTCTTTTAGTTATTAACTTGAGCTGCTTTCTGAATAAACAACAATTTTTAAAGCCTGAATAGGGTAAACATTTTTAAATTTAAAATGTTTAGGTTTTCCCTAATCCATTGCGCTCTGGAGTTTATCCTGGTGTTGCGACTCAATGAAAGCAGCAAACGGTTCAAACTTGAAGACAAACATGTTTCTAAGTAGGTATGAGGCTGAAAATGATGGAAAAGTGCGCATTTCTGCTGATAGACATTTAACTAATATAAAACCTATGATGTCACGACAGACAGCACAGCCAGCGGGGGGTGGGGGGGTGGATTGTAAGCCAAGCACAGCCAGCATGCAGAAACATTGCCCAGCGTGCAAAGGACTAAAAAATGGTTGGAGTAGAGTAAACAGACAAGTTTTGAGTCAAGTGGTGTGAATTCAAACGTTGCAAGTGTGCAATAGAATCTAAATGTACCCATCACCATTCTGATTAAGAGAACTGTGCAACACAGAGAAGGAATCTGACACCAAACATGCAAACTCAGTCTGTTTGAAAAGCCAGGAAAGTTTCCCAGTGTCTCCTTGATTTTAGTCGGGGTTATTACACACCATAGCCAGAAATGCCATGCTTCTTTTGATTTTCAGCATTGGTTCCCTTATTTTTTGTTTTCGGTTTCGGACAAAAATGTTCATTTTGGTGCATCCCAACTCTTTTTTTCCCCCCTATTTTAATCTTTTTTGAGGCGATGCTTAAAACCACCTGATCTAAAGCGACTTCTTCCAAATCTGTCAAAAAAACTGTTCTGATTCCCAGCCTGAAATGTCCTGCATCTAGGAGTGACTTCAAGATACATGTAATTAGATCTTAGCAGGGTATGTGAATCGATTTAAGCTAGCATATCATGTTCAGACCCTGACTCGTTGAGAGAAATATTATAATCCTCAGGTTTTTTTAGTGAGTTGAAAGAAAACTTAGTGGCTATAAAACGAATTTTAAATGTGTTTGTTATTTGGCCAGCAAGGGAAGGTGAACGCCAGCAGCTGGAGAACAGACATCCTGGTGGAGTATGAGGGAGAAGGAAGGAACGTTTCGGATCCAGCCTGCCCGTTGTTGGGACCCGGAGTGTCTGTATGCAAAGCTGGGATCAAATTCACCTTCTGTCTGTTAAACTAACATATGGAGCTTAAGTTTCATTTATTTATTTTTCTGCAGGAATGTTTCCCAGACTGTGTGTGCGAGGACTCATTCAACAACACTTACGCTTGCGTGCGCACTGTTGCCCCCACTGCTAACCTGCAGTACTGCGAGTTCGATGACAACGAGGTAATAATAATAACAATTAATTTTATTTATAACGCACTTTACATTTGACTTTGACAGGTTCTGATTTCCCTTTTATCTAAAATCCTTTTTTAGCTAAACAAACAGACTGTTCTCCTTCTTCTGAGCTGGTGTTGTCTGCATTTCATTTCTGAGCAGTTAGCTTGCATATCTTTTTACAAATTAAACAGATGATAGAATATGACCTGTAAGTAGGGGTAGCTCTCTCAGAATAGCTCAGCTGCAATCAGTTTAGCCTCCCTACTGTGCTACCTTAATAAACACACTGTAAGCATGAGGGCAGTGATGTTTGACAACCTTTTAACAACCACTCAGACTTTGGTGACACCTGGTGGCTGGATGTGAAACGGTGAACGTTTGTCTGTCCTCCAGGTGTTTGTGGAGGTTTACAATGTGACAGCAGACCCCTACCAGCTAAAAAACATCGCAAAGACCATCGAGCAGGAAGTGCTGGAAAAAATGAACCATCGGCTGATGATGCTGCAGTCCTGCTCCGGGCAGACGTGTCGAACACCCGGGGTTTACCATCCAAGGTGTGTTCAAAGCGTTAAAACATTTTTCACACAAACTGACTCCAATTTACTGACCTCAAAAGTTGAAATGAAATGTCGCATAGAAGAGTATGACCTCAGTAATTGGCTAAAACAAGTGATAGTATAGTTTGACCTCAACAATGAGATAAAATAAACAATATAACAATATATTATGACTTCTGTTATTGTCTAACATCACACATAGAATACTATGACCACAAAAAAGAGCTAAAATAACACATATTATTGTGTGACCTCAGTAATTAGTTCATGGTATGAGGTCAAAAATGGGCTAAAACTACTCATTTTAAAGTATGGCCTCGGCAATTAGGCTTAAACGAGTCATAGAATAGTTTGACCTCAAATAATGAGATAAATTCACACATAGTATTTTTATATCTTAATTATTATATTACATTTATTTCACTCTGCAAAGAGAGAACGAGACATCATGCAGCCCTTATTGCTCGGTAATCAGCCCTGTTCTGATCTGTCCCTGTTTTTTACCATAATGGAAAGTAGTTATAGTCAAAACTAATTACTTTGGTTAAACAGTAACGTCTTACGAATAAACCTTGTTATGGGAATAAGTATTTATTGTTTACTATATACCTACATAAATATATGTGAAAGGGAATTAATTAACCACAGACCTCATTAATTGGTTAAAACGACATTTATTATGTTATATTCTACTCTTTAAGCATAATATCTTCTTTTTGATATGAAACATTAAATTGTTTTTTTATCCAAGCATTATGTATTAATGCACTTAATGTGACACATTTTACGTCAAAAAGCGTCAGTAAGAGGGATAAAATACAACTTGTTTACCATTTAACATAATGCAGAATGATAAATTTGATCCATAATTTCCATCAATGACTTTTATTTCTGTAGCTCAGCTTTCCTCATCTTACATGGTTTAGTTTTTGGTATTAATCTTCTGTATTGGTTGGCGTGCAGCAATGACATTTAATGAAACAGACCTTAGACATCAGGTTGAAACTGTACAACAGACACAGGCTGAGATTTTCAGTACAGATCTTCCCTTTAAACCATTATCAGGTACAGAAATCATTACCAAACAAGTTACAATAAAAAAAAAACATCCATATTCAAAATTCTGACATCATTTATGTGTTTATTTTTCTCCTGTTAGGTTTGAGTTTAACCCCCGGCAGCTTTTCTCAAGCCACAGCTCCAGACTCTGAGGGGAGTGGATGAGAATCAAAGAAGGCCTTTTCCTTTGGACCCTCCTGAGCTGCCGTCTGTTAGAGCTGGAAAGAAAAAGGATCAGGTGGGCTGAAGTCTCTGGGAGCCAGACTCACCTTTAAAACTCTGGTTTGGAAGACTGAATACAAATGTCTCGTTGTCGGTGCAGCTTTGCACGTCTGTTCATCTTTGCTGAACTGTTTGTTCCCCAACAAAGTGTTACTCTGACTGCATTTAAATGTTTACTATAGGAATAATTAGACTGAGATTCACTGAATTAAAACCTTTTTGTGCAACTTTATTGTTGGTTTGTTAAGGAGGTTAAAGCTTCTATATAAGCAGTACCTGGATTACATTAGATAATTCCTTTGGGGTATTTATTTGATGTTAATCCAATTTATTTGGCTGAAGTTAACAGTTTGAAAAGGATCAAACCAAAGTGGACCTTTACTGAATTTAGATTATTTAATACTTAGTTTGTGAAGTGTTTAAACTGACTCTAAATTTATGATTTACTAAATGAAGTCATGTGAAGAACTTCTAAAGAGTAACTTCTCTAAACCTTTAGGAACAAAACAAGAAAAAAACATCAGTTCCTTTTCAGGGGTTCGTTTCACGAAGCAGGTTTACTGAAAACTATGTTTTCTAAACCAGAAAAATGGGAAAACTGAGTTTTTCTGCTTCACAAAGAGAATTTACTCAGCCTCTGTTTCAGTCGCCGTAGTAACATCCTCCCCGGAGCTAACCTGGACGGGAGCAGGTTTTCCTCAGTAAACTCGTTTTTTCTCCTGATTTAGTACGATTTTTGTCGTAGTTTTGTGCTAAAAAAAAAAAAACCTTCACTAGGTCAGCTAAACACGTTAAGAAAAAAAAAAAAAAACCTTGTATGTCCATTGGACGAGGATCTTATTGAAGCTTGATTGACAGTTTTTCACAGAGAATTAAATATTTATAGGGAGAGGATTCTACAAATCAGTTGAAAGGATATTAGATTTATTTGTTTATGGTTTGTTTAATATAAGCGATATGCAGAGCATTTCATTTTTCTTTATTTTTAAAGTACATGAAGAACGACTGAAATTATTTTCAGATTAGACATAAATCGATTAATTAATTCTGCTGGGGAAAAGGAACTTACTTGAGGTTAGAATTCGTTCAGTGATAATAACCTTCTGATCCTCGAGAGATTGGATGCCATTAACCGGAGTGAAGGGACTGAAGGGAGTGAAGGGACTCTAAAATCTGCCTTTATCTGACAGAGACCCATTTAGAGCAGTAATTATAGCAAAACTGTAATAGAAAAAATATATATAACATTTGTTAATATGCTCTCTCCAGAACTCAAGTGAAAAGAAATTAGTTTCACCTGATTTAATTTTGTAAAAAAAAAATCTTCTTTAAGAAATCTTTTGCTATCCAATTATTAATTGAAGAAACAATTGACAGATTAAGAGATATGCAAAATAATCCTTTGTTGCAGCCCTAGGAAATATATTGTAGTTCAGTCTAGGGATCTGATTTTGATTCTGCAGAATCTTATTTTAGTGATCTACAAATGAAACAACAGACAGGAGAGTACTTTTAATAAGTGTAAAAACGACCTGCTAAAGCCCCTTTATATAAACCTACACATTAACTTGAGCAGCAATCTTCTCTCCATCTTCCTCTCCTTCGCAGCCGGTTCTCTGTCTTTTAAACACATTTTTTCATTAAAATCTCTAGTTCCATTGGGCTGGTATAGGCACCTCTTGTTGCCTGTTGCCATGGTGACTCGTCATATCGGGGCTCCACTGATTTTCATACCTGTTATGCACGTGTTCAAGTCTGAGAGGACCGAAAACTCAACCTTAGGCTAGATCAATTTGAGTTATGGATTTGAATCAGTTTGTTAAACCTGCTTCTTGAAATGGACCTAAGGAGGATCTTTGATCACGTTGATATTCTTTATATCATATGTTGTCGAAACAGCAGAGGGACATTTTGAGACTAGCAGCCTTGTAGACAAGATTAGCTCCACCAACTAATCTGGACTTGTTCTAAATGAAGTGATCTTAAAGTCAGTGATTATGCTGTCGGGTTTTAATATTTTAAGGAAGATGGGGCAAGAGTGTTATGAGCGTGATGTTAATTTTTCTTTTTAAATGTTAAAGTCCTTCAAAACTGCATCTATTAAAATTCCTGTTGTAAAAAGGGGAAAAGATGAAAACCTCTATTAGATCCAGAAAAGCTTGACCAGCTGCTACTGATGTTTTTTCCAGACTGTTGTGAACATGTTAAATGTTTTTTTTTCAAGCTGAGTAAAAAATGGCACTTTTACATGTCAAGAGATTTCTGTATTTTTCTCTAGTTTTTGTTCAAATAAAGAAATCCTCACAGTAAAAGAATTGTTTTCATTTCCTTCCAAGTTATTTACAGCTGCAGATCATAAAGTCCCTTTAAGAGACGTGAAATTCATTTAAACCATAACAGCATCCAATCTTTTAGCTAAAGATGTTTATGTTCTCTCCTAATAGTCAAATTTGGGCTTTTATTTATTTATTTAAACTAAAAATGTTTATTTGAGGCAAAGCTCTACACTTCACATTATCCAAAAAGCAGCAATTTAGCTAAATTAACAGTTAATTGGCAAGTTTTGGGTTTTTAGAGAAACACTTTTCACAAATACAATCCTCTATGCAGATTTGTTGATCTGACTCCTTTTAGGACAACATTTGATTTAAAGTATTTAAAAGACTAAGTATTGGATCTAAAGGTATTTCTAGCAGCGATGCTTCATCAGTAAATAGGTTTACAGGATCCTGGTTTGAAGCACCTGATGTTAAATATGGTGGTGGTGGTGGTGGTTGCAGACATCCCAAGTCTCCTGGAAGTTCCAGGAGTCTCCCTGATATCGATAGTTGTTCATGGATGACCGCGAGTCGGATAAATTATCCCGGATTTTAGACTCTGGGAGGTGGTGTTTTTTAATGCCAGTGAGAGCAAGCGGCAGTACAATGATTCATGCATCATGTTCGGATTAGAACTACTGTGATTGCTGCTGAAACCTGTGCAGCGTTTCTGTCCAAAGCGATGCTCTGATCAACCAGCGTTCCAGGCGACTGGTTGATCAGAGAGCTGATTGGATCAGTCAGAAAAATAAGCCAATAAGTGTCAGTTTACTTTTTTACAGTCACCTGATTTTACAGCAGAATATACTAAAGTGTCTCCATGTCTAGTGAGAGTGAATAATGATGGAGTGCATGTATGGCGCACGGTGCGGCCAGGGGCGTCAGCTGACCCAGTACTATACAGAGGCACAATAGGGCACCAGATAAAATGCGAGCGCACAGAGCACCTGAGCAAAAAACATTTTGGGCAATTATTTATTTTATAAAAACATGGGCACAGATAATTAATGCAAGCACGCAAGCAAATATTTTATGGCACGTATTTATTATTATAAAGCATCATAAATAAATTGTACACTAAGATTGTTATTTTCTGCATTAGGAAATATCTACCTGAACCAAACTGCATTGAATTGGCCCTCTGGTGAACTTCACTGTATATCTCTAATCCACTACTGATGAAGGCACAATTTATCTTCATTAAAAATGAGTTTTTTTAACTTGGGAAGTCTGCCGTTGTAGTGGAGGCGACGGCGAACCGAACAGTGAACATGATGTCAGTGCGGCAGAGATACATGGCGAGAGAGATGAGAGATGGAGGAAATAGATTACTTTGCCCGTCCTGATCCTTGTCTTTTACAAAACTGTTTGAATCGCCGCCCACAACAAAGCACAAAAAATCCAGTTGTGCAAAAGGTGTTCACCACTAAAACTGCAACCAACTCACATATTGTGAGAAGCGTCATGCTTTATTTTGTTTTGTATGTATTGCATTTGGAAAGACTTCTGACACAAGCTCATTTATTACTGGGACGTCTGATTGGAGGCATGTGCACCAGCGCACAGAAGAGCATGAGAAGAGTAGCGTAATTTATGTGGTTGACTGTGACCCCTCTCTCTCTCTCTCTCATCTAAGAATTGTTGCTGTGCTGTGGTGGAGTTTACATTTTACAGTGTTAATAAATTAACTTAATTTA